AGGGGAGGACAAATTACACCAGGGAAGTTTTAGAAACTTGGCACTCAGGTCAATCAGTAATGAACAAACACATCGACATTGACCCAATTTATCAAACAATCAGAATAATCATAGGGGACACAAGATCAAGAAACAGACCAAAAGGTGGGTGCAATCAAAACAAAGTTGCAAACAACGACAGGTCAAAAGTCAACAGCAACCAATCAAGATCGAGGTTAACAGAACAAGCTACAGGTCAAACGTGGAGAAATTCGAACGCTTCACTTCTATCTGAAGTTTATGCTAATGATGTTGTTCTTCAGAAGAAAAATGAAAGCTCCACAACCAAAACATCCAGCTCAGAGAACCAAACACCACCATCACAATTGTCTTTATTTAACTATAGCTAATAACTCTCATTATTTACTTCTTTACACTACTCATTACACTTTAGTACATATGGTTTTTACTCTCTTTTTCAATCAACTAAATGTTGTTCATATTCCTGTATTAATTAGATTAATCTACGTTTCATTAGACTATAATTTCTTCAAAACGCTGATTCCATTAGTGTTGAGAAAAGTGTTTGAAAAAATAACATACTAATAGACGGAATCAATTCTGTATAGCTAACTAAATGTTAATTTATTAAAAAATTAACGAACAATTCACTCTTTTTTGTTTAGAACGAATTTTCAAAGACAATTCGATCAATGTCCAATATATGATGAAATCTATTGATTAACCAATTACTATGATCTGACTCACAATATTGAACCAATTTTTTAGTAATGAAAAATAAAAATCCTTTCATTTACAGCATTGTAGAGATTTTTTCATTGTCTTTTTCTAATTTAAGATAAGATTCCTCAATTATCAATCTGTACCAACTAAGAAATTATTGTAAATCATATATAACATAGAATATTTGTTTCTAGTTATCAATTTTAATTTGAAACAATGTTACCAACCTCATTATTACAAAATATATAAGTAAACGTGTATTTGCTTTTTAGTTTATTTCTCAGTGAGCTCTACCATATTCATTCACCTACCGAATTGATATTTTTATACTTTAGCACATTAAAAACCACATTATTTCTTTTGGACTAAGAAGCATTATATTCACTTTAAAAAAAGTATTTATTTTTTCAATGAATGAAAAGAATCGTTTAAATTAACTATGACAACCATTGTATATGTATATGTATATATATAAACACTGGAATAAGTCTATTATCTGTGTTTACTGTTTTATTGGATGACTCATAAAACTACTCTCTCTATTTCTGTATGATAAAATACACAAATCTAGAATACTCTTTATTTATTAATTTGACTAAACGAATGAATACACGTACATTTGTACATAAACATATATGTATATATAAATACGCCCAATGAGATGTAGATGACTAATTTTTCCTCTTTATTATTATCATATTAGAGAAATTGAAAGTGAGATTATCCTTCTTCATTTTGTTTCAATCAATTTTGATGAACAAACGATGTATCGTAATGGTGATGATGATAGCCATACCAGCAGCACTAGTATAGAAATGTTTAAACTTACAGTTGACTTATGGTTAAATTGAACATTGTTTTTTTCAAAAACAAAAAACTAGTTTGATATGATGAAAAGCAACGGGAATTGTAAGAATGACTATTTGTTTTTGAATGACATCTGTTCTGTGAAGGTCAATCAGTGCTAAACCAAAACAAAAGAAAATAATTGAATATTGATGATAACTCATTTGGAAAGAAATTTTTGAATGTTTTTTTGTAAAAAATCAAAATTGATTTTGTCAAAGGACTTAATTTAAAAGTCAGTCATATTGGGCGGGAATATTGGAATTGATGAATCAGATACCTCATATTATGGTAAATATTACTTACTTACTTAAATACTTACGCCTGTTAACCCCAATGGAGCATTGGCCGCCCACCAGTTTTCTCCAACCCACTCTGTCCTGGGTTTCCCTCTCCAGTTCTGTCCAATTTTTGTTCATTATTCTCATATCCTTCTCGGTGTAATGTGTTCCTTGGCCTTCCTCTTTTCCTTTCGCCCTGAGGGTTCCAGGTGAGGGCTTGTCCATGAGACTCCATGTCGTCCCATGATGTCTTCATATCCAGTGTTGTCCATGCCAACCTTGGCATTCAGGTCTCCCATAAGAATCGTCAAATCCTTTGGTGAACATTTCTCGACGATTGACTGCAGCCTTTCGTAGAATTGATCTTAAACGTCGTCATTGTAGTCATTGGTAGGTGCTTTAATGATCCTAGTTCCATGAGATTCCCATCCTATCAGTGCCTTTTGTGCATGTTTGGACAGCATCAGTGCAACTCCTTGTGTATGTGAAGCATTTTCCTCTTCATGACCAGAGTATAACAGCAGTTCCCCTGATGCCAGCTAGTCTCAGTTGTCCTACCTGTGTCCAATGCGTTTCACTGATGCCGAGCACCTCGAGGTTGTATCTTTTCATTTCTGCCGCAACTTGAAATAGTCTTCCAGTCTCCCACAATGTACGAACGTTCCATGTACCTAAAAAAATGGTTGCTCTGGTTGTGAGAAGAGGCATCGGCCCCGCGACTTCCGAGGGAACTCGGCTTTCATCACGCGACGTCATAATTGTTCTTTCAACTCCCAGGTCAGAGTTAAAATGGTTTGGATTATTTCTTCTGATTAGCGTTTTTTTGGCAAGTTAGTTTTTAGTTGGGATGGGGTCTCCAACCCCATGCCCGACCCTCTTCCTTTATCCGAGCTAGGGACCGGCAGTAGCCTCGAAGGGTCTACAGGCGGAGTTATGGTAAATATATCACCAATGAGAAAAAAATAACTTGCAAAAAGCTTATGAAGTTTACGATTAATGAATAGTAACTTTTATCAAAAAATTATTTTGGCATATTTTCTAGATATTTACAATCTAAATCTGTATTGCAAAGGGATTTATTGCTGTGTTGCATATTTTATGTCGAGAATTATTTACTGTCAACAAATGTATGGTAAAGATGAGAGGCTTCTATAGTCTATTCAATTTGAAGCTGACTTACATCACTGACTTGCTTACCAAAGGTTTTGTCTGTTCATATTTCAAAACTGAAACGAGATGTGAATAGTTTTTAAGTAATAAAGACTTATATTCATTCTTGGAACTTTGCAATAATGTTTTACGTTGCTAATACTATGTATCTGGTTGGGATAGTTGCTCTCAATATCTAAATATAAACGATTTTATCTTAACTTTTTTGAGAATGGCCTTCTAAGGGATGAATTCAGGGTAATCATTACAAATAAAACACACCAATATGTTAGGATATTCATCCAATATCCTAAGAGAATTATTGGTCAAATCCTACTGGCCTATTTCTATTGGTCAAAATTATGGTCGTTTTAACTGCCAAAGTCAAATACTTCAATGTTGTCTCTCATTGGTCATCCGGACTGTTGATGTCATTTCAAGTGTTACTTCCTATTGGTCGTGTTAACTGTCAATGTCACAGAATTCGATGCTGTTTCCTATTCGACCAAAATGTATAAATACGCATTATCTGTAATATTTAATGACCACGGCCAGGACCAGGGCTCGGTCCCGGATTCCTAGTCCGGAGTCCTGGTTCTCTTCTGGCATTTCAACAGCCAAGACAATTTGAATAGGTCAATATATTTCATACACTTTTTTAATCAGATATCATCTCTTCTTTGCAATTATCTATGATTTTAAGGTATTGTAGAACAATGTTATATAGATCTTTGACATAAGAATTCATTTCATCAGCATGACTGATTTCAAGAACTACATATCACTAGTATCTAAGTCTGTGGACTGTCATTTTTTCCACGCATTTGAGGTAACAAATTCTACCAGTAACCATAATTTATTATCATCACAACGCTTGTTTGCTCTTACTTTAACAATGTCCTATAACACTGAAGGTGATTATAATGACCCTTTGCATCAAGTCATCAGACACAGTAAAAAGAGAAAAGAACTTCAAAAAGGATAACTCCTCATCTGCTAATCAACACGATTAATAAGATGTTACATTGTGTTAATCGAGTTCCAGTTATCATTATTACAAGTATAATTTTTTTTCAAAAAGACAATATAATAAACTTTTTTTGGGTTAAAATCAATCGCAAAACTTGTTGTATTATTAGATTGAATGTGTTACGCCTGCACGTTAACACGTCATTTTGATATACTTCAGTTATTACAAGTTTACCTTAGTCGATTAACTAGAGCGAGGATCGACAATCCGGTGACACGACATGCTACTCTAATCCGAGTGTCCCAACCGCCATACTGAGTAAAAATAAGAACACTTGATATGAAGTAGAACATGTATACTACAAGCATCCAGAAAGTACGAGGTCCGGACTAGGGATCCGGGTCCGGTCCATAAAACGTTACAGATAATGCGTATTTATACATTTAGGTCGAGAAGGAAACAGCATCGAAGTCTGTAACATTGACAGTTAAGAAACAATATTTGAGGTGACATTAAAATTCAGGATGACCAATAAGAAACAACATTGGAGCAAGTGACATTGATATCTAGGACGATCATAGAAAATTGACCAGTAGAAATTAACCAATAGGAATTGACCTATTTAAACTCCTACATTGGATAGTTTCACTTCTTATCGTACATAGATTTTTGTTTAGAACATTCATATTTTCAAGTACAATGTTGATTTATTATTTTTTATAATTTTAATTTCTTGATTTATACAGTTAAGAATACCACTGAACATCATGTACAAAAGAGCAATACCAATTCATTTCAACAATCACATACTAGTAGAATTTCACAAATATTTACCAAAGCTAATCAATTTTCAGCAATCAATTTAACCACTTCACTATTTCGTAATGCTTCAAAAGAAAGATCTAGACGAAAATTTGTATGATTATAATTTATTGATTATCAATTTTATTTTATTTTATTTTATTTATTTTGCACTGTATTTGTGGCTGCTGTTGTTTGTCATTTTTAACAACTCATCAACAATGGAAATTTATTTTGCAAGACTTTACAGTGCAATATGATTGACTCTAAAAAATGTTCGATGACTTCAAATACAAAGTTTGGAGAAGAGATCATAACGAAATACAGTTCAATACTACTAATAATAATATATTTCACTCAAATTATTTACTGCTTCATTTGATAAACAAGCAAGTAAAACAACATTGTTTTTCTCATCGATTTAGCATTTTTTTTCTTTTTTTGAAAAAAAAAATACAACTCCATTTCAGATTGTATACACACACACATACACATGTTTACGAAGCAGAAAAAAACAAAACAATGATACTTTAGCTACTTTTTTTCCAGTTTATTTTTTAATAATGTAAATCATTTGGATTATTATTGATTAGGAATATTTCAACAAAAAAAAATCGTGAAAGTTGTTGAATTTAATTAATTCTAGACCCCGGTTTATTGTATGAATGATTGGACAAAAAATAAAAATAACAATATAACTCACTTATCAAGTACAACAATCTTACTTATTCCATTTTTTAGTTACATTTCTAATATAGTTGTTACGTTCGTCTCTAGTCGAATAATAAGAACAGGAAAATGAACTAGAGCGTCCAGGTAGGCTACTATGATCCCTTGACCGAATTGTATCAGCAAGAAGTGTTGATATAGTGTAGAAAGTGTATTCTACAAACACCTAGCCAGCACACACAATGAATCCAAGCACTCAAATTACGTTTATTTATATTTTATAGAGACGTCCTTGGGACAGTCACAAAAAGAGCACACTAAAATGACACAGTAACCAATCACAGCCAAAGATTTTCCTGATGGGAAATGTGATCTCAAGGTCAACTGATCGGTCCAATGAATAAATCCAAAATAAAGATATGCACATTACGGGGTTGTGAAGATTGTTAAGTTACACATTTTTGAAACCATGAATCGATCAATGTTAGACCACCATTAGAAACCTGGAAGCACTGGACGGCCGTTTCGTCCTGGTATTGGACTCCTCAGAAGTGCGCATCCACGACTCCTAAACCCCGCAAGATTCGAACCCAGGATCTTCGGTATTGTAGGCGAACGCCTAACCATTGGAGCTCTGAGACGGCATCTAACGGTGTTAATGTCTAACTTGATCAATTCACGGAGTTGCGCAACCTCATACACAGTATTCGGTAGTTACTGTCTACACCCGAACAGGTTGAACTTCACTGGTCACGTCTTCTCGCTACGACTCGGAAATCCCCCACTAAGCTAGTCACTAGTGAGCACAGGTAATTTGTATTACGGGGTTGTGAAGATTGTTAAATTTCTTTTTTGATCGATTCATGGTTTCAAAAAAAATAATAAAGATATTTATCAAGCGAGTTCTGGGGATCTAACATCCCCAACATTTACACAATATAACACCCAAATGAAAACTTATGATATTTAAGAGACTGTGAGATTACATTTGAAAAATCTTTCTCAGACGCTTATGATACTCATTGAATTAGTTGAAATATCAAAAGTTTTAGAAATCAGAAACCGAGAGTCAGGCATTCAGTACAGATTTACTGCGTGTGCATGAAAAAAGAACAACTAACAATATCAATGGTGTAGAAAATTTGTAGCTCAGGTGGATGATTATTGTGGTGTTTCGTTCTCAAGCTCAAAGAACAGCCATATCAATCTTCATACTTATTTTGTACAGTTTCATTGAATTCTTATTTTTTGCTTTGATATTCCTAGAAATCATCTTACTGTGAGTGTGAGAAATGATATTTCTTTTCCCATCTATAACTTCTGAAACAGATATTTGGAACTGTTATTTCATAAGTCAGTTGAAATTACTTTTTGTTCATATAGGCATGTCTGTTCTGAAGCGTATAAAAGATGTATAAAAGATGCTCACATATACTTTATAATTTTCGTAAAATAATAAAAATGTTCTTACTCTTAGGATTTACATTTATTAAATGGCATTCTAAATGAAATAATAGTAGGAGTGAACTAACAACTGAGCTAGAACTTTATGTTATTCAGTCGGATTTATTAAGACAATGGAGATTAGGATCATCAGAATTTATTTTGAAATAAAATAACCTCAGTACTATATTAGGCTGGTCCAATCTGAGTTGTACTGAAATGCATTCAAGCTGTCTAGAGTGTCAATTAGTCAGTGTGAGTTGAGACTCTATACATAAAACTAGTAAGGGAATATGATTTACAAACTGATCGATGAACAAGTTAACGAAATAGGGGATTCTGGAAGGATTCACATATAAGGTAGATGAATAAATCTCACCGCTGAGCACAACTTAACCAACAGCAATAAACTTTTGCGTGTCATAGTCACTTCATTCAGACATCGGATTCAAAAACAAGAACAAAACTATCTTACTTTAACATCCGAGTATTAAATACCATATGTTCACAAGACCAGAGTGTGATTGGTAGGTAAAATCTGTTCGTCAGTCTTATGGATTCAGATAAAACAGTAGCTCTGCAATTAAGACGATGAACAAACGGTATTTAACTAAACTAAAAAACGTTAAGCCCATGGATGCAACGATCAAAGTGACATAAACTCTACACCAGCCATCTAGATGATAATCATGATGTATCAGGTAGAGGTAATAAGAACGATAAAGATAACTACAACTCAGAAAGAAGTATCTGGTGATAAGAATGCACATCGTGGACTTTTATACAGACGTTCGAAATTTTTCTCTTTCCAAATTCAACCTACGTTGAAAGATTACACTGATCCGTATCATCTTGCAAAGAAATGTGAAAAGTACCTTAGATACTGATGTTGTCGTCAGCTTTGAAATGGGATAGAAATATGTTCAATGAGATTTTCTAGACTATACTTCTGCCTTTGAAACTATACCAAGACCACAACTACCTAACATGTTTGCCAGATTTATTTCTGACACATGAATAATCAATTGGCTGTGTTCTTACCTCTTCAGAGGAGAAAGATATACTCTACTATCGTAAGGTGGGCCAAAAGGATCTGTTCTTTCCATTTCTATTTTCTCTATTTCTATTTTTTCTGTATAGCCTGTCGACCTTTACAGAAAACATCTTCGTTAAGCATGCAGATGATCTTTTAGTGGTGACCAAGTCGAGAGTGACTATGACCACCACTAAATATACATTACTATCCGGTCACATATTATAGAAATAAATCCAGGGTCCAATATTTATTTGAAGTAGAAAGTAGGGGTTACATAGAGCAGTAAGTTATGAAAAATGGAAGTGACGTGTAAAAGAACGTTGAGCACAAGTAAGTGTTTTTGGTACAGTTAAACAAAACGAGTACAATTGTAAACGTTTATTTTTCACCAATCGCGTTTTCTTCGTAGAAGTGTTCCACTACAATCTTACCATATGTATACCGATTTCTGTCTCTTCATATTCTCATGGAATCGAATAAGACCTTGTCGCAGGTTGGATGTCAAGTTTCGGTAAATTTCTATGGTTCGGTGTTTCGGCTCGTGTTTAAAGATTCCGAACAATCTTCTTTAGGTTACGTCAATAGTTTGGTACGATGAATCAGGTGTGCAGTGACCCAATGGATTAAATAGTTGTGTGACTCCAAACGACCTAATATTTTTCTCTTTGTGAACACAGGATATGCGTGCTATAAAAGGTAGAGGCTGGTGTTAATGCCTTTTACTATGCTACTAGAATAATGAGCCTAATTCAAAATAATGAACTTTTCATGATTAAGCTGTCTAAGCAGCTCGATCTTAAGTAGAAGACACATTGTGAATGATACTGACTTGTCATATTGAGCCGTATGCATATAATCACTGAAGGAAATATTACATTAAGTATAGAATGTAAAGAGTTACACCTAGTGACTATACCTACTAACCTGAGCCATGCTGTTCTCTTTAAGTGTTTTCCCGCTCACAACATCCCACCTTCCCTGTCAAACGCTGGATACAGGTTCTTCCAGCTGCAGTATATTCAGCTTCCAGAAACGGATACGAAATTTAGTTCAAGCGTGTAAGTGTTCAAAGGTACAACGAATTCTTATAAAAACCGTGATGATGAGCTAATAAGGACCGTTGCTACCTATTAAGTCCAGCTGATTCAAACACATTTGTCAGTTATAAGGTTCCACAAGTAAATTCAGTAGCTCTCGGATAAAAATAGTCTATTATCGTAAGTCACGTACTAGGAAAGAATAGCCACTCAATGATTCTGATTATTAGTAGGATGGCCCAGCTAAGATGTTTTGCGATTTATAAGCTATCGAAACTCACTTATCTCCATAAATCTTCATGATAACGAAGTTAGTGGTCTTGGCATATTAAAACTTCCTGAGCATGATGCAACCACTTGACCTAAAAATCCTAACTAAAATTTCATGATACACTAAGAAGAACGAATATCATGCTAGACTGTACGTAATACATTAAGTATGAGGATTCAAGATATACATCAAAGCAATACTTCTGGGTTGTCGGCTCATCTGCTCTTATTCTCCTTTAAAGCATTCTGCAACCTTTAGTCCTGCATCATCCACTTATGGCACACTTGTGGTGTTCAAGGTATCACTAGTTTCGTGACGGTCGGTATTCAACGTGTTCTTATGCTTCGTCTAGTCAATCGTTATTAAATAGCGGCTGACGGCTTATATATCAGAAGGTGAACTCAAAGTATTGAATATGTTTATTTTGGCACACCACAGATAGAGCAGCAAAGTACAAGCGCTCAAAGATAAAACCGTTATGCAAACGCCGGAAGGCAAACAAGCGAGCGAATTGGAGAAAGAATGGATGAAGTGAAGTGGCGAAGGCTAGTCAGCCAACTCTGAGAGACAAAGCATGACAAGGAATTTATAGTCAAAAAAGACGGACATTTAGTAAGCGACTAGACATGCACACACATGAATACAGGCGACGAATGAGTGACAAC